ACCTTGTACTCCTAGTCCAGGACATGCAGGAGCTTAAATTCTTGGCAGTACTCCACACTGGCCTCAGGGCTTGCAAAGACTGTGAGATTCTCCTGTTGTAAAGACTTCGTGTTTGTGATGGTGGTGGGGCTGGTGGGGATCTTTTGCTTACCTTCACCCTGCAATGAGAAGTCCCTCCTCTCTCTGGGCCAATTCAATCCAGATGGGGGAGAAGGGGCTGCAGAGGCTGAGTGTTTCCATGCTGTGGGGACTTCCAGTCACCACAGGTGTGTCTCCACTCCTTTGCTGCACTCTAGGACTATCCCTTTGATACTCTAATCAAATCTTAGATGTGTATTTGTTGCCTTGGTTCTTTCTCGTAGGGGAGACAAGCACCAGGCATCTCTAGTCACCCATCTTGCTAGATTTAGCATAATACATAAGGGCCCTAGGATTTTCAGAATAGTCAATGATTGTTGGCTTCAACTTAAAGCCACCAGCTTCATTAGCCACTAACAAGAGAATTGGTCTGTGCTTTGAAGCTTTGAAACTGTGCATTGACTTCTCCTCTCTAAATACGAAAGTCCTAGATGGCATCTTCTTCCAATAAAAGGCCATCTTGTCTACCCAGAAAATCTGTTGGTTAGTGTGACCACCTTCATCAATTATCTCAGCTAGATCTTCTGGATAACTTGCTGCTGCTTCTGCATTGGCACTTGCTGTTTACCTTGTACTTTTATGTTATGGAGATGGCTTATTTCCTTAAACCTCATGAACCAAGCTTTTAGCTTCAAGCTTTTCTTCTGCAGCTTCCTTACCTCTCCCAGCCTTCATTGAATCAAAGAGAGTGAGGGCCTTGTCCTGGATTAGGCTTTGGCTTAAGGGAATGCTGTGGCTGGTTTGATCGTTTATCCAGACCACTAAAACATTCTCCATATTAGCTATCAGACTATTTCGCTTTCTCATCATTTGTATGTTCACTGGAGTAGCAGTCTTAATTTTCTTCAAGAAATTTTTTGGCTTTTTCATTTTGTTTTGTTTTTGTTTTACATTCACAACTTGGCTGAACTGGTGCAAGAAGTCTAGCCTTCCTCACAATCATTTCTAGCTTTTGGTTTAAAGTGAGAGACATGTGACTCTTCCTTTCACTAAGACACTTAGAGACCATCATAGGCTTACTAAATGGCCTACTTTCAATATTGTTGTGTCTCAGGGAATAGGGAGGCCCAAGGAGAAGGAGAGAGATGGGGGAATGGCTAGTCAGTGGAGTAGTCAGAACCAACATATCATTGATTAGGCTTGTCGTCTTAATATGGGCGTGGTTCGTGTTGCCTCAAAACAATTACAATAGTAACATCAAAGATCACTGATCAGAGATCACCATAACAGATATGATAATAAAAAGTTTGGAATATTGCAAGAATTATTAAAATGTGACAGAGACACAAAGTGAGAACATGCTGTTGGAAAAATAAAACCAGGAGACTTGCTCAATGCAGGGTTGCTACAAACCTGCAGTTTATAAAACAGTAATATCTGAGGGGCAATAAAGTAAAGCACAATAAAACAAGATATATATGCATACACACACATATACGTATATATAACCTATATATGTATACATATACATATATAGGCTAAAGGATATAAACATATGTTTTCATATATATACATATGCTTATATATATTAAAGGATATATATATGACTACTGATGTTATTAATTTGGGTCAGTGCTAAAGAATATATCTATATATAGATATATACACACATTTAAATATGCACATATATAGACATATGTATAGCGATATGTGTATCTACATACACACAAATACATATTTATATACCTATATATACTACATATATAGCTAAAAGATATATCTGTAGATATATACACACACACATATATACGTGTGCATTGTGTGTGTGTGTGTGTGTGTAGATAGATCCTTTAGTAGTGACCCAAATTAATAATCTCGGTAGTTTTCAATGACACCACCATTGAAAGGTGAATTATATCAAAGATATATCAAAGTAGCGAAAGACTACTGATGTCATTTTATCCGGGCCAGTGCTAAGGATTAAAAATGTACAGGTCAGGTCAAGTGACTTCAGAGACGTACTTTTCTGGTTGAAGTTATGTACTATTGCACTACATTGATAAACTGGTTGAACTCTGAAAATATATATGTCAATGATCTGGAGTCTACTATTAATATATCATTTTTTCCTAGAAGAAAATCTTACATTATGTAAAGGTGCTCTTGGGCCTTAACAAACAGTCTAATGAATCACAGTTTAAGTGCAGTTCTTTATGACTTCATTTGTGAGTGAATTTTACCAGTCTCAATACCCCTCTCTTCTTTCTCTCCATATTTTGAAATCTCACCCATCATTGATGACTACCACATGTTACTCTTTTTAATTCAATGGGGTAGTAGCTAAGGGATTAAAAATGCACATAGCAAGACTTCACATGTTATCCTAGACTTAATTTTCTGATACAAATTAGCAATAATTATTCTACAATTTATAATCTAGTTACCCTGAAAAATTGACATTAATCAGTTATTTATCTGAAACCTGGTATTTAATTTTTCTCTGGAAATGAAGTTTTAGATGTTTGTAATGAAATTTTTCAGCCTGTGAAAAAAACTTAATGAAACAAGTTTATATACATTTCTTTACTCCTAAACATAATTCCCACGTTACTGTTTCTGGCAAAATTTACATAAATTCAACTTCAGTTTGTAAATACCCACCTTGCTTGTCCTTGTAATTTTTTGCCTTTTCACATTCAAATACCACCAGTAACTCTTCACCAATCATGGATGTCTTTCCTGCCACTCAGAAAGGGCTAAGTAACTACAGACCCAAGGCAGGGCCTCCATACAATCTGATGGTGGGTTTATCTTTGGGGCAGTAGCCTCATGTGGTAACAGATGGAGAGACCGGGGTCTATTAGCTTTGTTCTTTTCTGTTGAGAGCTCCTCAGCTCCCTGCCCACTGTTACCTCCTCCTTGCTGCAAATAGGACTGTTGCCTCTTTTGGCTCACTCTAGTAGAGTGTCATACAGTACACACATTCTCATATTTTCCGAAGGTTTCAGGGTGCTGCTAAATAAGGGTGACCAATGGACTAGGAATAAGAAGCATTCCTCTTAAGACCTATTCCTCTTTTATCCACCAACTAGATCGAAGAAAGAAAGGTAACTGCAGATACTACAGTAATAAGACTTTAGAAAACAGTGCCTAAAACACCTGTATTGTTATGGATACTCCAGACAATGAACTTCCCAAATCTGAATCTCCCTTTTCTACATGTATGCTTTTGTGTGTGTCTATGTGTGTATTTACATATATATGTTTACATCTAGCTTTTTATTTACTTAAACCTCAAATTTTGTTGAAAGTCCCTTCATGTGTTACCTGTTGTCATTTCACCGAAGGCAGTGCTGATGGAGCAAAAAGGCACAAAGACATATAGTGAATTTCTCTTTTTTGACACTATTAGCAAATACATTTTTTGTACCAAAAAGAGTAGATTTTCTATAAATATGAAGTATGTACATATATAATAAGTGAGGGTATGCAAATACTACCACATAAGCCCAGTAAGTAAAGTCCAACAATTAACAGACTCATTTATCAATGGTCAATTCATCAGAGATTAATTTAACTATATATAAATTAAACCTATGTACATATTAGAAATACATTTTAGCCAGGTGCAGTGGATCATGACTGTAATCCCAGCACTTTGGGAGGCTGAGGCGGGCAGATCACGAGGTCAGGAGTTCAAGATCAGCCTGGCCAATATAGTGAAACCCTGCTCCTACGAAAAATACAAAAAATTAGTCGGACATGGTGGCACGTGACTGCAGTCCCAGCTACTCAGGAGGCTGAGGCAGGAGAATCACTTGAACCTGGGAAGTGGAGGTTGCAATGAGCTGAGATCGCGCCACTGTGCTCCAGCTTGTGCAACAGTGAGACTTCGTTTCAAAAAATAATAATAATAGAAATACATTTTAATTTGCCCATGCCTCCAATGTCCTATAAAATAAATTCTTTTAAAGATTTATTTATTGGTTTAAAAAATCAATACTACATACAAAACTCACATACTATTGCTTAATGAGCAACTAAGGAATTCTCACCTAGATGTTTCCTTAATCAGCCACTGATTAAACACAATCCTTTTATTCCTTCTGTAAAATCTCATTCATTTTGCAAATTTTCTTGAGCATTACACTATAATTAACTTGAATCAGGTTTTCCATATTACTTACACCTTTATGATTTATTTCCAGGAGAGGTTTTCACATGACTGGGAAAATCCTCCATCACCTCCTTCCTTTCATTGATCATGCTAGTCTTTCCTGCCCATGAGACACAGTGAAGTACTCGTGCACCTAAGGAAAGCAGCATCCAACGAGGTGGTGGATTTGAGTTGGGTCTGGGCACCAACCTCACATGTGGATAGAGCTCTTGAGGTGTGGGACAAGTCCACATTCCATTAGCTTCATTCTTTTTTTCCCAGGGCTTCACTACTCCTTATTGGCCGCTATCTCCTCCATGTTGCAAATAGGATTCTCTCCTTTCTTGGCACACTATGGTAGGGTCTCAAACTCAGGAAACCCAAATCCCTTAAAAAATTGCCTACCAGAAATTGAGGGTGACAAATACACTAACAGGAAGAAGTGGCTCTCCTATGAACTGACTTCCTTATACAACTCCATCAAAAAAGGATGCGGTTACCTACAAATGCTACAATGAGAAGAATTAGAAACCCTTTTAAAAACACTCTGTATGGCCATGCAGGCTCCTGAGAGTAAATTCCACAATGTCCATCTGTCTCCGTGTTTTGTGTTTCCATTGTGTGCATGGGTTTGTTTGTGTAAATGTGTTGACAGAAGTGTGTATGGATGGAGATAGATGGATCTATTTGTGTATGTGCTTGTGTGTGTGTGTATAGCTCTATGCATACTTATGCATACATGTGTCTTTATGGATTTATAACTCACCTTTTACTGATAGGTGACACCAGGGCTGCTCCTTTACATTCACTGCTGTGTGGGCTAGAGGATGATAAAAGAATACAGTCAGCTAGGAGACATGATTCTAAATTCACTTTTTTGGAAAAATTAGCTTTTATTACTCTAGACAGAAACCAATTAATTTCTGTCAGGAAATCTGAGTCCCATAAAAAAAAAAAACTGCTTACTAGGAACTAAGGGTGACAAATGCACTAACAGGAGGAAGTGACTCTCCTATGACCTGCTCCTCTTTATACAACTCCACCAAAGAAGGATGCAAAGTTACTAGCAAATGCTACAATGAGAAGAATTGGAAACTCCGTTAAAAAGAAATCTATATGCCCAGACAGGCTCCTGAGAGTAAGTTCCACAAACGTCCATCTGTCTCTTTTCTCCTTGTTCTAGGTTTCCGCCATGTGCATGGATTAATTCGTGTACGTGTGTTGAAGAGAAGTGTGGATGGATGGATGGATGGATGGATGGATGGATATATTTGCTCATGTGCCTGTGTGCGTTTATAGTTCTATGCACACTTATGCTGATGGATGTCTTTATTTAACTATTTATTACTTACATATCATTCGTAAGTGTCTCGGTTGCTCCTTTAAATTCATTTGTCTGTGGATTAGCGGATGATAAAAGAATACAGTCAGATAGGAGGCATAATTCTGAATTTATATTTTGGAAAAATTACCTTTCATTACTCTAGACAGAAACCAATTAATCACTGACTATTCATGTGTATGGTACTATTGGAACATGGAATGTCTTTTTTCTTTATTAGAAATGAGGATTTATATGACAACAACCAAAATCATAGCCTGGGGAAAATAGTAATGCTTCGCAATTTAAGTCAACCTCTTTATTATGACCTCAGTCCCAATGTGTGACAGACTTTGTGACGACAGTAATTTCAAACTCAACTCAGTTTGTAGGTAGTCAGCCCTCTTATTCCATTCAATGTTCTGCTTCAAAGGCCCTCCATTAGCTCCTTACCTTCACCCAGCATGGTGGTTTCTCTAGTCCCATAAAAAGGGTTAGGTAATTAGAGGTCTGACACAGAAGCGCAATCCAAATAGGACGGCGATTTGAGGTTTGGAGCTCCAGCTTCCGTGGTGGCAGAGTTCTGGAGGGTGGAGAACAACTCCAAGGCTCTTAGCTCTGTTGCTTTCTGGTGAGGGCTCCACAGTTCCCCATGAATTCCTACCTCCTCCTTGCTCCAAACAGGATTCTCTCTTCCCTTGGCCCACTCTGGTATTTCTCATACACAGAAAATCAGAGTTTCCAAAGCATTTGACTGCTACTAACAAATGATGAAAAGACAGTAACAGACAAGAGCCTCTCTCTGTAGTCTGTTTCTTTTTTTCTAAACAACTGTAAAAATGTGGAAGTTATCTATGCGTGATACAGTGAGACGGCAAAGAAAGAAACTGTATCAGAGACACTCCCTGTTATCCTGAACACTTCTGAAAGTGAATCTCACTAATCTCAGTCTCTTTCCCTGTCACTGTTTGTGCGTGTGTGTGTGTGTGTACACATCTTATTTATTTATTTCTTTATTGTAACAAAGTTTCGCTCCTGCTGCCCAGGGTGGAATGCAGTGGTGTGGTCTTGGCTCACTGCAACCTCCACCTCCCCCGGTTCAAGTGATTCTCCTGCCTCAGACTCCTGAGTAGCTGAGATTAGAGGCGCCTGCCACCACACCTGGCTAGTTGTCGTAGTTTTAGTAGAGACAGGGTTTCACCATGTTTGCCAGCCTTGTCTCGAACACCTTACCTCAGGGTATCTGCCTGCCTCGGCCTCCCAAAGTGCTCAGATTACAGGTGTGAACCATTGCATCTGGCCATGTGCATCTTTTATAACTCATCTGTCACTGGGGCTTCTCTCAATGATGACTCCCTCCAGGGCATTTGGATTGGGACTAAAGGACAAATATGGTCAGAGTCAGACACAATGCATAATTGTAATGTTTTGCAACAAATAGCCAGTTAGACTATGCGTTATTCCCCAGTTACACTGTAATTATTCACATGTATGTACATCACTAAATTGACCTGGGATGGCATTTGTTTTTTATTAGAAATGAGGTTTTATACACCAACAGTGAGTATCTTAGGCTTTGAACATAGTGATGCATCCAGATTAAGTAAGGGCATCTACACCTCAATGTGTAGCAGCATTTCTGGAGAGCATTTAATTCTAGTTCAAATTTAGTTTGTAAGTTCCTCTTCTTATAATTGCATCTGAGTTCCTCATTCTCTATGACGTCCAATCAGCTCCTCACTTTTCACCCATCCTAGTTGTCTTTCCTGACCAAGAGTTGTGGCCAAGTAGCTACAGGCCTCAAGCAAGGGCTCCATCCCATGTGAGGGTGGCTATGGGCCAAGGCAGTCAGCCTCACATAAAGGCAGAGCTCAGGCCGGGCGCGGTGGCTCAAGCCTGTAATCCTAGCACTTTGGGAGGCCGAGAGGGGCGGATCACGAGGTCAGGAGATCGAGACCATCCTGGCTAACATGGTGAAACCCCGTCTCTACTAAAAAATAATACAAAAAACTAGCCGGGCGCGGTGGCGGGCGCCTGTAGTCCCAGCTACTCGGGAGGCTGAGGCAGGAGAATGGCGTGAACCCGGGAGACGGAGCTTGCAGTGAGCTGAGATCCGGCCACTGCACTCCAGCCTGGGCGACAGAGCGAGACTCCGTCTCAAAAAAATAAAAAAAATAAAAAATAAAAAATAAAGGCAGAGCTCAGGAGGGTGTGAAATAATGCCAGGGTTGTTAGTTCTGTTCTTTTCTTTGGCTGGCATTTCTCTGATCTTTGTCCACTCCTATCTTCTTCTCACTCCAAGTAGGATTCGCTTTTCCCTTGGTCCACGCTACTAGTACAGTCTCATTCTCACAGAAAGCAAATGTGACAAACACTAACATAAAAAGCCTACCTCTATGAGTTCCTCCCCATTTTCCTACCTCCATCCAAAAACCAAAAGAATATTCCATACAAAGCTCATTCTGAGAGGACTCTGGAAATAGTTTCCAGGGAACTCCTTGTTCCCTTGGATGCTTGTGACAGTCAATAGCCCAACTCAATCTCTCTGTGTGTATGAATGCATGTATATGTGTGTTTGTTTATGCATAGATACATGTATAACCGTATTCCTTTATATCACATGTTGCACTGGCCAGCCTACTAGAAGATACTCCCAATTCACACCTAGGGCAGTACCAAATAACTTAAAATGTACATACTAAGACAACATGTAACTTCCCAAACTTAACGTTTTCAGTTCAAAATAGTTCCAATTGCTTTTGTTTTTTCTTTTTGTTTTTTGTTTTGTTGTTGTTGTTGTTTGTTTTTTGCGACAGAGTCTTGCTCTGTCACCCAAGCCAGAGTACAGTGCCACGATCTTGGCTCACTGCAACCTCTGCCTCCCAGGCTCAAGCAATTCTCCTGCCTCAGCCTCCCAAGTAGCAGGGACTACTGGTGCCGCCACCAGGCCAGGCAAATTTTGTATTTTTAATAGAGATGGGCTTTCACCAAGTTGGCCAGACTGGACTTGAATTCCTGATCTCATTATCCACCCGCCCTGGCCTCCCAAAGTGCTGGGACTACAGGCCTGAGCCACTGCGCCCGACCTACTAACTACTTTCAACCTGTAAACTGCCCTACCCTTACAGAAGTCATGTGTGCATTTGGTTCTTTGGAATCTGCCATGCCATTTACCCTACACATCATACTTTATATGATTGCAGCACATACTTTACACCTATCTGAGACTCACTGACTCAAGAGTTCACCAAAACTCTCTACCAATGGAGCTGGCCAATCCTTGACAGCCTTTTGTGGGTGAATTTCTTTTAAATTCAACTCCACTGTATAGGCATTCCTCCCTCTCATCCCATCTATGGCCCACTTCCTGGATCTCTCCATCACGTCTTTCCTTTCACCCATCGTGCTAGTCTTTCCTGTCCAGGAGACACAGGCAAGTAGCTGTGGGCCTAAGGAAGGGCTGCATCCAATGAGGTGCTATGCTTGTGTTTGTGTTGTAGCACCAACCTCAAATGTTGACAGAGCTCTGGAGTGTGAGGGACAAGTCCATGTTCCATTGGCTCCATTCTTTTCTTCCCAGGGCTTCTCTGCTCCTTGTCAGCTGCTATCTCCTCCATGTTGCAGACAGGATTTTCTCCTCCCTTCTGTCAATCTCACAGGCTCTCAAATTCAGGAAATCTGAGTCCTTTAAGAAGTTGCTTACTAGGAACTAAGGGTGACAAATACACCAACAGAAAGCAGCAGCTCTCCTGTGACCTGCTCCTTTCTATATGAGTCCATTAGAAAAGGATGCAAGGTTACCTACAAAGGCTATGATGAGAAGAATTCGAAACCCTTTTAAAAACCACTCTCTATGGTCATACAGGCTTCTCAGAATAAACTCCACAAATGTCCGTCCACCTGTCTCCTTGTTGTATGTTTCCATTGTGTGCATGGGTTGCTAGTGGATGTGTGCTGAGAGAAGTGTGTATGGATGGACGCATGGATGGATGGATGGATATATTTATGTGCCTGTGTGTGTGAAAACTTCTATGCTCACTTATAATTAGATAAATAAAGACATACGTATGTATAACTCACCTTTCATGGATAGGTGCCTCCGAGTTCGTGCCTAATAATTCATTTGTGGGTGGACTGGAGGATGACAAAAGAACACAGACAGGAGACACAACTTGAAATTCACTTTTCTGGTAAAACTCGCTTTCATTACTCTGCCCATAAACCAGTTAAGTTCTGACTATTCATGTGTATAGCACTATTTGGTTCTGAAATGTCATTTTTTATTAGAAAGGAGGATTTATACGACAGCAACCAACACCTTAGGCTGGGGAAAATAGTAATGCTTCCAGATTTAAATAAATCTCTTTGTTATGACCTCAGTCCCAATGCGTGGCAGCCTTTGTGGTGACAGTTATTTCAAACTAAACTTTTGTGTAGAGGTAGTCGGCCCTCTTATTCCACTAAATATGCTGCCTCAAAGGCTCTCCATTACGTCTTCACTTGATCGCCTGTCTTGGTCTACAAATAGGGTAAAGTAACTGCAGGTCTGAGTCAAGGACACAGTCCAATGTGATGGTGTTTGGGGTTTGGAGTATCACCCTGTATTGTGGCAGAGTTCTGCAGGGTCAAAAACATTTCTAGGGTTGTTAGCTTTTTTCTCTTCTTCGGAGGTCTTCCCTACTCTCTGTCCCCTGCTATCCTTTTCTGTTTCCAAAGAGGATTCTCTGCTGTCCTCAGCCATCGTAGTAAGGTCTCACATATAGGCAGTCTGAAAATTATTTTTGATTGTTACTCAGAGTATCAAACAGACTAGTAAGAAAAATCATCCTTCTTATTATGTGGTCATCTTTTATCTAAATTCATTCAAGAAGGCATAAAGGCACCTTCCTATCCTATAGTGAGATCATGTAGACACGTGTAAAAGTTTTTTGTTTTTCCATTAATGCCCTTGAATCTTCCCTAATCTCAACCTTTATATTTCTCTGCAGTACCTGTGGGTGCACCCTTGATTTAATATGAATCCATATGGGTTTATATAAATGGTATATAATTGTTTCCTCCTATGCTCATATATCCTTATATCTATATTGATTGATTTCTGTCTCACAGTTCACTGATAGCTCCATTCCAGGGTAGTGATTTGAATTTAGACTTGGCAGTGCTACAGAATTTAAACATATATATATATATATAGTCTATATATATAGGAATATATATATATAGTCTATATATATAGGAATATATATATAGAGAGAGAGTCCAACACCAATATGACATCCTAGACTTCACTTTCTGGTTTGAATTACTCACAAGTGATGTTTAGTTGCTACAATTGAATGAAGCACAAAGTAAGCATTTGGTGGTTTACTTTAATTCAAATTCAGCTGCAGTTTCTATGTACAAATCCCTTTGACCTCATCTCATTTCCTGATACTAAAATCCCTTCATCAGTGCCTTGTTTTCAC